GGAAACCTGCCGAGGTAAGGCTATTTATAAAGGTTTAGAGATGGGCAGGGCAGCAAATGTTAATGTAGGAGAGGTACTACGGAGCTGTGGGGGGTGGCCATTGTATTGTGAGAGATTAGCATGTATTTTGAGAGATTAGCATGCGCAGTGGCCACATGGAGGTGGAAAATAATGGCAAGCCGTCATTTGCTAACACAGCTAACGGTGGCTGTGGTAGTGAATGTAACTCAGAGAGTCGAAAATAACTTACAATCACACTTAACATTGACAGAAACAAAGTCGGCATCTAATTGGGACCATGCAGATAACATGACAGCCTCTTTAGCCGCCTCAATGTCAGCTAAATGCAAAGATAACTTGATTTACAAGTTCAACCTCCTCTCCAAGAAGAAGCCAGATCCAGACAATAAAAAGTTCGATGGTGACAAGATTTCGATTTAAAGCTTTCGTCCTCAGGTGAAGACCAGGTCTGTCGGGGAGACAGCGTCTGAATGAGGAGACGCTGTCTCCCCGACAGACCTGGTCTTCACCTGAGGACGGCTGCTTGCGTTGTGGCCGAAACGTCGTGAGAATTATTTTATTATGTTTTATTTTTATTATTGTATTACTTCCCTTCTACGTGACTTTACCGAAAGAACCAAGAAGGTGACAAGATTGTTATCAATCAGAGAATACGCCCAATTTCTGACAGCCTAAAATAGAGTAGAGCTAAAGGGTTGAATTTTGCAGTCACCCATAAACACATCCGAGTTGATGATATCATTGCCCAGGTCGACGTAGCCCTTAAGGGTTTTGGGACACATTCCTACAGACATAACAAGATCGGAAATCGCTGTAATCCTCAAAAATGCTAAGACACCTATTAGCAACATCAGTAAGGATGAGTGCTTTGAACTCTCTCAACTAAAAAAGAGAGATGGCATAGTCATCCTCTCAGCCGACAATGGCAATTCCACTGTCATCTTGGACAAAACCACATACAATAACAAAATTCAGGACCTACTTAATGATGGCAGCTATACCAAAATCAATAGAGATCTTACCAACTGCCTGGTTATGAAAGCCAACAACATCATCACTGATTCGACATCTTTAATCGAACCAACCAAATGGCTTGCCGTAAAACCCTCTGCTCCTAGACCACCTAGATTTATGGCTTACCAAAAATCCATAAAGAAGGCACACCACTCCGCCCTATCGTCGCCACCATTGGCTCACCCACCTACAAACTGGCCCGATTTCTGTCTGAGACCTTGCAACCATTTACTGGTAAGACCACCTCAGCTGTACTTAACTCAGCTCACTTGATATCTTCCATTAAGGACATCTCACTATCTCCAGATGATTTGTTTGTCAGTTTCGATGTGGTATCTTTGTTTACTAAAGTGCCTGTGCCTGACACAATTGCAATAATTGAAGATATGTCTAACCAGGGCTGATGTACCAGCCCTGGTTAGACACTGCTTCACCAACACTTACTTCACCTGGAATGGAACATTCTACAAACAAGTTGAAGGTACCCCTATGGGTTCTCCCTTTTCTCCAGTTGTAGCCAATGTTTGCATGGAGAAATTTGAAATAGATACTATCCAGGCATCCGCCCTACGTCCTTCCTTGTGGAAGACATACGTTGATGATACGTTCGTCATCTGGCCACATGGCCTACCAGCTCTGGACCAATTCTTCAACCACATCAATTCATACACCCAGCTATCAAATTCACCATGGAGGTGGAAAAGGATGGCAAGTTACATTTCTTGGATTTTTAATCGAAAAGAGACCTGATGGCTCAATGGGACACTGTCTACAGGAAAGCCACCCATACGGATGCTTACCTAAAACCTGCCTCCCACCACCATCCATCCCAGAAGAATTCCCTCATCAAAACTCTATACCACAGAGCTCATTGTATTTCCAACCATCACCACCTAGCCAATAGCAATGTCTGAAGGTGCAGCAGTACGACAACCAGAAGCATCAGTCAGCAAGTGCTTCTCATGTTCCATTTTTATGATTTTACCCGCGTGAATTTTGCATTATGCACGTGTAGCACTTCCGAACTGTAGAGCTTATGTCCAGTTGGGTGGCTGCACATCATGGGCACACAATAATCTTGGAGACTTCTTGCAGGTCGGTTTATTTTAATCTGGGACTCCAGCTCAAACCCTCAGCTCCTGCACACAAGAAGTAACACTTATAGTCCAGCCCGTTGCTCACTACCTCACTGCTGTGATCCATAATGTGTTTTTTTGGGTTAGATCGCGTAAATATTATGGATGATATTGGTCGCGAACACCTATGTGTTAAATCACTGCTGTGAATCTGATATTGTTTATTTTTCTATCTACCCACGATTGAATATAAATAACAATATAATTACTGACATTCAGCAGTATTAACGCATTTAAAAATTGAAACACCAAAACAATAACTTAGAATCAAAACCACTTAGCGAATTCAATTAACTTTTAAACATTAACTACAGTACTGTATTAATTAATTTATGGAGCAGCTGACATTCTAGCAAGTCCCTTAAGGCTCTTTTTATCTGTACTCTCATGGACTCATTAATTATATAGATGAATACAGCAGTCACTTTTAATAAAAGAAGCATTTAACAAAAAATGTCTGGTCTGGTATAATTCATCTTAATTGTATATTATACTATAATTATATTATATTCTTGGTTCTTTCGATAAAGTCACATAGAAGGGAAATAATATAATATATAGTTTTATATTTATATTATTTTATTATTTCCCTTCTACGTGACTTTACTGAAAGAACCAAGAATATGAATCCCTGCAGTCACGAAAGCTTTAAATCTAAATTTATAATTATATTATTGTTAACCAATTATTATGTTTATACCCGTTTGTCTCAGCGCAATGAATTAATTCGACATAAACGTTAATTACAGAATATTTCCCTATCATATTTGCTTACAATCATATGCAAATTTGTGTAATGATGACGACACACGTTGCTACTCGGAGCCTTTTATTGGACACAGCACCAATACTAGGCCCGGGCTTCGTTCATCATGTTTTCGCTCATAATCTCCCACGAACGTCCCCTCTCCCCTTCTATCCCTCTCCCCTTCTATTCCTCTCGAGCCCTCTCTCTCTCGAACTTTCTGTCAAAGTCTTTCTACCAGCCAATCCCCGTCCTTCTCCCTTTACGGTTCTCAACCGTCACCTCCAGGTTCGACTTCTGATTCCCGCATTTTTCCCGTTTGAATCTCTCCTCCAATCCCCTCAAACCTCCGCCTCCCAACCCATCATCCTGGAGGCCTCTTTAGGCCAATAGGAGGCCTTGATCTTTCTTCTTGGAAGTCCGTTTGGCTGCACATTTGCTTGGGGTGCTTCTTAATTTAAGTCATTACACTTGCAAACACGTTTTTAAAATCATGTAAATTACGTAACTATGTTATTCTGAATGCTTCATTATACATACGACGTCTTTAATATGCTCTTTGGTTGTTTCGGTAAAGTCACATAGAAATAAATGTCATTTAATAATAGAATCCGACGTTCCGATTGCAACACAAGCAATCGTCATCAGGTAGAGAACAAACCTAGTGAACTTAGAAATACAATGCAATCCAACACAGAGAGTCGGCTAACACAACGGTCAGCACCTTACCTGGTTGATTACGTTCTTACAAATGTAATGCGAGCATAACTGGGGTTGCTGCTGGGCTCTGGCCCAATCACACGGCCCGGGGTATGGGGGGCGTGTGGGAGGGGCCGCCGTTCACCTCGGCTCCAATGGGAGGCGAGGTGAATGGAGGTGGAGCCAGCAGGGCAGTATGGGAAGGCCGGATTGGACGATCCGGAAGGGGAGGAGTCAGGGTCACGTGGGATAGAGGATATAGAGGGGAGCCCGGAAGAGATCGGGGTCAGTTGATGGAGTGAAGAAGCGTGACCACGTTGGGTGGCCGCCGCGCCATCAGCCACGTGGCTGATGGTGCTTCGGTACACCGTCGGCCAGCGGTGTGCGGAGCGGGGAGGAGCGGAGCGACTAACGAGAGGAGCGTGCGGGGGCACGCGAGAGGAGCGTGCATGGCACGCGAGAGGAACGTGCGTGGCACACGAGAGGAGACGCTGGTCCCTTGTTAGGACCAGCGGGGTGTGAGGACGAGTGGAGGAGCTAACGGAGGAGCGTGCGTGGCACGCGAGAGGGAGCGTGCGCGGGGCGCGCGCGAGACGACGCTGGTCCGTGGAGGAGACCAGTGGGGTGCGGAGAAGAACCTGAATAAAAGGCAAGCGGAGACCAGCAGTGCCTGACAGAGTCTTTTATTACACAAAGATTGGTAAATTTGAGAGAGAGACAAAACACAGACATGGGGACACAGTCTATATTGTGTCTCTCTGTGTGTCTCTCTCTTCTTGTTTGTCTGTCTGTGTTTCTGTCTGTGTTTTGTCTCTCTCTCTCTCTCAAATTTAGCAATCTTTGTAAGAACGTAATCAGGTAAGGTGCTGACTGTTGTGTTAGCCGACTCTCTGTTAGATTGCATTGTATTTCTAAGTTAACGAGGTTTGTTTTCTACCTGATTACGATTGCTTGTGTTGCAATCGAAACGTCGTATTCTATTATTTAATTTATTTTCCCTCTACTTGACTTTACCGAAAGAACCAAAGAGTAATTCCTGCAGTTATGAAAGCTTCAAATCAATCATTAATATGCTTTTATAGACTTTAACAGTTTAAAATACTGTATTTATTGATGTCAATAACTATGTAAATACAGCATTTTTACCCATCATATTTATTTTTGATTCTAGTCACACAAACGAGTTTCGAGATTAACCTGAACTATGTAACTATGTTACTATGAATGTTGCCATTTGCAATGTTATTAAATATTTACCTCAATGCAAGAGTTGTGTTATATTCTTAATCACTTAACTTTATCGATATAAGTTGTATCCTTATCCCACTGCTCCCTACCTCCTAGTAGAGTATATTTAATCTACCCAGTTACTTTATTTCACTTACCTGTACAGAAGAAGTAACACTTTTAGTTCAGCCTGCTTCTCACTGCCCCTCACTGCTTCACAACAACAGTGTTGTGAATCTGATTGTTGCTTTCAGGGGCCAGAGGGCAGGGTCTAAGTGTTATCCTGCTTGGGTAAGCATTGGGCTCTGAGCAGCCGTCATTGTTCGGGATGGAGTTAAAAGCATCCTGATGAGTATTTTAATAAGGGACTTTTTCCCCTCGACTCTCACTGACATCATGTGTCACACACGCATTCGCCAAACATTAATGTTCGTGGAGCTGGTCCGACCAGTCCTCTCTCCTCCCGTCGTGAATCATTGTGAGAAGGGTGGGGGGGGGGGAGAGACACAGGTCGGCTGAATAAGCAATAACAATAAAGTTCAGAGAAGATGAGTGACTCTGCGTTGTGTTCTGTACTCCGGAGAAGTAGGCGGCTCGACAACGGCTGAACACCCAGGGGGCGGTTTGTGAAACGGAAAAACTGGTTTCAAAGGTCCTCTTCAGAAGGGCAAATTTGGTATGTGCAATAGCGATCAGAGATACCCTCCACGTCACAACACCGTAGCTGAATTCCTTGGTCCAGAAGATAGTCCACATTTCTATTGGGGTGTGCCTTGTACTTTTGGGCTCAGGGTCCAACCTCTACTCATCACTGCCAATGATCTTAAATAATCATACAACACACCTGGCTACCCGTAGCTATTAGCAGAGTACACGGTGATACACAAGCGAGTAGTCACGGATAAGCTCACACTGGCTACATCCGGTAATGATAAAAAAAACATGTTTTGACCCTTTGTGGCAATAAAACAGTAGTTGCGTGAAGATGTTCAAGCACTAAATAGATACCGTTTGAAAGGCACCAAGTTTGCATTAACCATAACCTTATTCTTGTGGCAAAACATTCAAACAAATCTACTCTGATATATGCATTGGCTTTAAAACTGATTTGTCTACAGCAGAGATACGACTTCTGCATGACCTTGTCTCTGCACCAGTGTTAGACCAGAGAATGTCAAAAGGTGAAGTACAAACATTTTAACATCAGTTCTATTGCCAGAAAGGGCAAAACCTATTCTTATTTTTTCACCATCTTGGATCGTGGCGAAAATATCCCATAATGTCCGGTAAGCATCTCACTACGTGTTTAAAAAAAATCAAGATTATTTTGGTTTTACTTAAATTGATTTTCTTTCTTTAAATAAGCTGATTACTCTAGATTTGAAGTTTTCGTGACTGCAGGGATCCATACTCTTTGGCTATTTCGGTAAAGTTACGTTAGTATTGTAAATGTGTTACTATACCCAGTGAAATATGTAGGACGTAAGAATGACAGACCTGTCAACCCATACGGTTTACCCCGTATTCTTGTACAGCAGGGGTGTCCAAACTTTTTGCAAAGAGGGACAAATTTGATAAAGTGAAGATGCCCGGGGCCAATAGTTCCTTCTGACATTTTTTTAAACCACAAAAGTTACGTGAAAATACACACTGTTATAAAAAAAATTGCATTGTCACAATTACCTTTATGTTTCAAATGACAATGTAACCAAATATAAGCCACTCAGGCAGACGTGAACAACTCTAAAAACACAATTAAGCCTTTCATTCAGTCAGATAACATTGAACAAACTGTATAGAATACCTTAAATTTCCAAGAGTTAAATATCTTTGCCTCATGAACATTTTAAACAGGAGTTAAAAGTAATGCAAAGTGGTCTGTTATCATTAAACTTTAAAACAAGTGAATTTTGCCATTGTCTTTTACAATATCTTTCAGAAAGCAATAGTTTGTGTCACATCTACAGGTACATAACATCAACAGTTATAACCAAATCTTATTCAAGAGTTTAATAAAACAAGTGCCATAAGTCCAAGTGCATTAGTGTGCTTTAGGCTTTTCACTCTAAATAGTGACAGATGTTACCGTACAAAACACTCAATTTCAGATTAATCAAGGAACAGATAACTTCCTGACACTAATGAGAAGGGTAATACTGAGATCTAGATTTCCGTAAAGAGACCAGGTCTGGCTTGAGGGCAGTGGTTGAGATACGTAAAATGTCACGCAAGTGGGAGTCACTCATCCTTGACCTCAACCGGTTCTTGTTTAAGTTCATGACTGAGAATGTTTGCTCACACAAATATGTGGAGCCGAATACGCTCAGCATTTTCTTAGCGATTGACCGCATTTCTGGAAACCTGCTTTTGTCCAGCTGCCGGTAAAAGTCAACACTGCTGGTGTTTTCCGCGGCACTCATCGTCACACTGCAGCTCAATGAGCTCCAGCTGCAGCTGTGGAGGAGCATCATCAGGGTCCACGGAGAAGGGAGAACAGAAAAGCAACGTCCTTTTCAATAACTGCAAAGTCCCGAAAGCATTTGTTAAATTCCACAGAAAGAGATGCTATAGCTGTTGCATAACTCTTCATTTGCGCACCGATGTTGTCCTGTGGGAAACTGTCAATGACCTCTTTCAAAGCTGGGAAGTGCGTAGTGCAGGGCTCTGTTTGGGACAAGTGTCTTTGGAAAAGTTGCAGTTTGGTTCCAAAGGCCTTGATGTGAGCTCACCATTGCATCTTTTCATTGAAGATTCATATTCAGCGCATTCTGATGCTTCGTTATGTCAACCAAAAAAGCCAGATTTGCCAGCCATACGGGATCGGACAGTTCTTCAATTGGTTGTCCCTTCTCACCCAAAAAATGTCCAATTTCCTCTTTGAGAGAGAAAAATCGCTGCAGTGCGGACCCCCGACTTAGCCACCTCACATCGTTGTGATATATTACGTCACCGTATTCAGCCTGGATGTCACGCAAGAACTGCTGAAACTGTCGGTGGTATAGAGCTTTAGAGCGAATAGAATTGATTGCCTTTGCCACTGGTTTCATAACATCGTCAAATTTGAGATGTTTGGCGCAGAGAGCCTGCTGGTGAATGATACAGTGAAGTTTAATAGCGTTGCCTGCTTCTTCGCTGACTTTATTGCAGATCAGTGTGGACAATCCACTTCGCTCACCAGCCATGGCAGGCGCACCATCGGTAATGATCCCAGAAACTTTACTCCATGGTAGTTTTATGTCATCAACAGCTTCACAAACAGAAACGAATAAATCTGTTCCTCTGGTTTGCCCTTTAAGGCTTTTGAGGTCAAGCAGCTCCTCTGTCACGTTCATGTTGTCATCAACTCCTCTTAAAAAAACAAGTAGTTGTGCAGTGTCAGATGCATCGGTGCTTTCATCGCAGGCTGATGAGAAATAATCAAAAGCCACTCCCCTGTCCCCCAGTTGTCTCTGAATATCTGACGATATGTCCTCAACTCTCCGTGCCACAGTGTTGCGTGCCAGGCAAACATTCATAAATTCTTGCTTCTTCTCGAGGCAAATGTTCTCCACCATTTTCATGACACAGTCTTTGATAAACGCACCTTCAGTAAAAGGTTTGCCATGTTTAGCTTTTGTCTCACAGGCCCGCGTGAAGAATCACTGTTGCGATGCCAAAGCAGCTTGAAGTTGCTTCACTTTTTCAGCACGGTCACTCCCTGTTAGCTTGTATGTTGTAGCATGTTTAGTCTCGTAGGGTCTCTTTACGTTGAAATCCTTAAACAAGGCAACCGTCTCTTTACAAATTAGACAAACACAATTGCCTCGATTTTCAGTGAAGAAGTATTGTAATTCCCACCACTCCTGAAAGCGGCGGTCCTAACTGTCAACTTTTCTCTTTTTTTTGCAGTCGCCATGGAAGAAATTATTCGAGAAGGGTTCGCGGCACGGATGTAGAGCCAGATAGCATTCGAATGGTGCTGCCACCGTGTGGCAGAAGCCGGAATTACATCTTTAAAGTTTTATGATTTATTTATTCTGACAGAGCCAGCGAGCCATAAATAACACATTATGAGACCGAAGCTGCGGGCCGTATGAAATCTGATCGCGGGCCGTCATTGGCCCGCGGGCCGGACTTTGGACATGCCTGTTGTACAGGGAAATCGAGTTTTCAAGTCAATACGGCATACAGCCGTTTCAATACGGGCACAAAAAAATCGTATTTGGTTGTGTTTCTCCCTTGTGATGAGACTTTGAAGGATGAACGTTGAGATTTACAAGGTCACGGGGTGACCAATACGGTCTGAATTGGTCTGAAATAAGGTTGGGCACTGATAGGGAGATGACATGGCAATGAGGTTTGATAGCGTGCTCTCCCTAACCCCAACCATTATCCATTATTTAGTCTGGGAACATTTTACCTTTAAATTTACGCAATTTTGAGTCGTCGCACGCGCCGTTTTATGATTACACGCTTTTTATTATGATTACACGTCTTCTTGTTTCTTTCGGTAAAGTCACGTAGAAGGGAAAGAAACAAGAAGATGAATCCCTGCAGTCACGAAAGCTTTAAATCGAAATATGATTACACGCTTTTATTTAATTCACTCTGTCTGTTGTTGTCGTATCCTCAAATATTGTAACTCGATTTTAACCCACTTCCCAAAGTGGTATCGACTGCAAACTTGGTATACTTATGTCATACTGATGACAATACTATATTTTATCATTAAAAATAAAAATTAGATATTTTTTTACATTATTTTTTATGTTAAGTTTCGGCTTTGGTCTAATTGTCCACGCTCAACTGACGTTGGCTGTAAATCACCACGGCCCCTTACGTTATGGCACGCTACATGTAATGAAAGCGGTCCCCTACTAGAATATTACTTCTTGTCAATAACAAATCGAGAGGACGTCCATTTTACCTACGTGACTTCACCGAAAAAACCTAAGAATACGTCCATTGGCATCCATCACCCGCCGCTACGACAGCAGGAAGAGAATCGATCCGCGATTCACAGAATCGTGGGCTCCCAGCCGCACATGGAATCGATTCCCAGCGAGGCGTCTTGCGAGGGCCTCGCGAGCGCCGAGAGGAGTTTGGGGCCCGATGGTGATGGTGGAGGTGGGTGGCTCTCGCTCGGGGGCTTCTTCCGCCGTTTTACCTCTGCCTGCCACCCTCGGGGGCTTTCTCCTTCGCGCTTCAACATCTCGCTGCTGCCGCGGCGGCGGCGGCGGCTCCATCTGTGGCTTCGCTCTCCGAATGTCCCTCGGGCGCCCCTCGGTTGTCGGGCCCCAAAGGAGACCGAGGGGTTTAGGCCCAAGCCTCGGCCTTGTCTAGTTTACTCGCCGGCCGTGGGCGCCTGAGCACGGCGGCATTGCGAATGCAATCGTCATAAGTATAGGCGATTGTAATTTATAACATATATAGGCTCGTCCGATTTGAATAGGTAGACTACATTAGAATGTGCAATTATAATGTATGGTTTGCTTTGGTATATACGTAGCTTTAACGTAGTGCAGATAAATATAAGGCTCAACGCAAGTGCCGAATTAAAATATCTAGTTCAGATAGGCATTGCCACGCATTGTGTTTAGAATATGTAGTCGGTATAGGTATGCGTGATTATAAGGCGGAGTGCGGATATGTTAGCAGCTGTCCCCCTCTTGTTTTCCTCCTGATGATGATCGCTTGTGTAGTGATCGAAACGTAGTTTTTGTTCATTTTATTTTTTATTAATTTGAACCTATCTACGTGACTTTACCCACAGACCCCAACATATAAATTCCTGCAGTCACGAAAGCTTTAAGTCAAGATTCAATCTGTTTAGGTTTACGAGTCGTGAACACGACAGAGATTTGAGTGGGGGGTTGGGTGTGTGGGTGGGTAAGTGAGTGAGTCGGGGAGTGAGTAGATGAGTGGATGAGTGAGTGTGTAAGTGGATGAGTGAGTGTGTAAGTGGATGAGTGAGTGGATGAGTGAGTGTGTAAGTGAGAAAATGGGTGAGCGAGTTCCTTGATTTTAGAGGAAGTAGCTATCTCCTGTACATAGCTGGCTGAGGTAACATCTGTTGGGGAAGTATGAAAGACGAACTTGATGTGTCGGGACGTCACCATCAACCCCACGAAAAGTTAGCAAGCACCTGCCCTGTGTATTTCGTGTCGTGAAACACTCAACTCCGTGTGAGTGATGGGGCAGTTGTGGAGAGAGTGGAGAGGTTTCCATTCCTGTGCAGTGTGCTCATGACCAATTCTGGTTTGACAGCAGAGGTGTCACTCCGGATCAGTCGAGCGGCATTATCTTGCTATCAGCTGCGTAACGCTACTGTGTGGAAGCTACCTGGTCTGTCGCTCGATGCGAAACTCTGGGTCTTCTCGGCCACAGTCATTGCCTCCCTTTTCTATGCTTGTGAAACGTGAACCCCTCTCATGGAACATCTGTGCCGGTTATAAACATTAAGGATGGCCTGCCTATGACCCATCCTGGGTTTAGCCTGCAGTCTGGATTATGATAGGAAGCTCACAAATCCTTTAATGATCTGGACACATTTCCCAACAGCGAACTCCTCCGGCAGGCAAGGCTGCATTGGATGGGTCATGGAGCATGCATGCCCAGCCACCATATGCCCGAGCAACCTGATTGAGGGGGCTAAACATGCACGGCACGGGCTAGAAAATAGATGGACTGATGTGGTACAAAACGATGTGGAGCTGAGTGGACTTGCCAGTCGTGTCAAGATCGGCCTCCATGTGTGGAGGAGGCTCGTGAAGGACGCTACTGGGCAGTGTCAGGCTAGGTGCACCTTGAGGCTATGGATAAGTTGGAGGTAGTCACCCTCCAGCAACAATGGAGGGCAGAGGAGTGATGCTCACAACAACTTGCGTATTGCTGGGCGGCTAAAATGCAAACAGTTGGCGCAGTCGGGAGCACAGATGGTGCATCTGCCAGTCATCTCAGTCAGCCAACCCATGGCACCTGCAGGGTCTGTCCCGTAACCTATCAGTGAGGCTTCAACATTTCACGTGGCCTCAGTGCGCCTGGCGTGGCACAGGTGCTGTGTGGACGTCTCTGTCACTTAGTGGTGAACGGCGGCGGTTGTTGTATGGGGAGCAGTAGTGTAGTGGTTAGTGCGCTAGAAATCCGGCGACTCGAGTTCAATTCCCCCTCATGGTTAATGCCATTGACGATTATCTGAACTGGTCATAGGTCTCTCCTAGATTGACTCGGCCTCAAATGGGTACCTGGTGTGATGTGTAAACATCACCATTAGGGAGACAAAGGCGGCCGGGCATGGTTTTGGCCACCCACCCCCTCGTGTGCCTTGCTGGCTTTCATAGGTGCTCGCTAACAGCACTTGCCCCAACAGTCTGTTAAGGCTATATGGGGGATCTTTTGCAAGTGAGTGTATAAGTCAGTGAGTGTATAAGTGAGAATGAGTGAGTGTGTGTATGAGTGAGAATGAGTGTGTGTGTGAGTGAGTGTGTGTATGAGTGAGTGTATGAGTGAGTGTGTGTATGAGTGAGTGTATGAGTGAGAATGAGTGTGTATAAGTGAGTGTATGAGTGAGTGTATAAAAGAGAATGAGTGAGTGAGAGTATGAGTGAGAATAAGTGAGTGTGTGTATAAGTGAGTGTATGAGTGAGTGTATAAAAGAGAATGAGTGAGTGAGAGTATGAGTGAGAATAAGTGAGTGTGTGTATAAGTGAGTGTATGAGTTTGAATGAGTGTGTGTGTGTATGAGTGAGAATGAGTGAGTGTGAGAATGAGTGAGTGTATGTATGAGTGAGTGAGTGTATGAGTGAGAATGAGTGTGTGTATGTATGAGTGAGTGTGTGTATGAGTGAGTATGTGTATGAGTGAGAATGAGTGAGTGTGTGTATAAGTGAGTGAGTGTATGAGTGAGAATGAGTGTGTGTATGAGTGAGAATGAGAATGAGTGAGTGTGTGTATGAGTGTGTGTGTGAGTGAGTGTGTGTATGAGTGAGTGTGTGTATGAGTGAGAATGAGTGAGTGTGTATGAGTGAGTGTGTGTATGAGTGAGTATCTGTATGAGTGAGAATGAGTGAGTGTGTGTATGAGTGAGTGTTGAGTGACTGGGAGGAGTGATCCCTGTGCAGGTCACCATGGACGGGCACCGCAATGGGATGAAAGGAGGAGGTAGAGGGGAACACGGAGTGAGAAGGTGAGATGAGACTCAAAGAGACTCACACACTCGCCCAGACTTGCACAGAGACACACAGACAGACAAACTCACACAGAGATAGATTCTGAGTTTAGCAAACATATGTTGGTGAGATATTATCTCCCTCGTCTAATGCTGATGACGACAATGTTGACGATGTTGATGATGATGATAAGAATGCTGATGATGACGCTGCTGACAATGATACTGACGATGCTGGCTATGATGATGACTGCTAATAATGACAATGATGATGACGATGGTGACAATGTTGTCAACGATGCTGATGATGATGATGGCGATAATGACGATTCTGATGACAGTGATGATGATGACGATTATAACCATGACGACGATGCTGATGACAACGATGCCGATGATGACGATCGTGACAACGATGCTGATGATGATGGTGTCGATAATGACGATTCTGATGAGTGCTGATGACGATAATCACTATGACGACGATGCTGATTATAACCATGACGACGATGCTGATGACGACGATGCTGTTGACGATGATCACTATGACCATGATAACGATGCTAACGATGCTGTTGATGACGACGATGCTGTTGACGATGATCACTATGACGATGATAACGATGCTAACGATGCTGTTGACGACAATGCTGTTGATGATGATCACTATGATGATGGTCACTATGACGATGATAACGATGCTGATGACAATGACGTTGCCCACACAGCTCCCGCGTCTCCGCCGACTTCGCCGCCGACCTCTCGCTGCCTTCTCCTTCGCCCTGCGATCCCGCGGCCCTCCATCACGGAGCCCCCGGGGGGCCCCCCCCCTCGCCTCCCCCGGCCCCCGGGGGCCCCCCCCTCCTCCCTCTCTCTGTGGTGGGAGGAGCAGGGGGGGGCGGGGGGCCCCCCGGGGGCTCCACACTGCCCCCCGAGTGGAGGAAGACGGCGGCTGCCTTCATCTACGCCGTGTCCGCGCTCGTGGCCACCAGCGTGGCCATCGCTGTAGTGCACGAGCGCGTGCCGGACATGGTGGGGGGCTCGTGCACATAGCCTGGCACCCCACACAATCATTCATAACCTGGCACCCCACACACTCGCTCATAGCCTGGCACCCTACACACTCACTCATAGCCTAGCACCCCACACACTCGCTTATAGCCTGGCACCCTACACACTCACTCATAGCCTAGCACCCCACACACTTACACTCATAACCTGGCACCCCACACACACTCGCTCATAGCCTGGCACCCTACACACTCACTCATAGCCTAGCACCCCACACACTTACACTCATAACCTGGCACCCCACACACTCGCTCATAGCCTGGCACCCTACACACTCATAGCCTAGCACCCCACACACTTACACTCATAACCTGGCACCCCACACACACTCGCTCATAGCCTGGCACCCCACACACTTACACTCATAACCTGGCACCCCACACACACTCGCTCATAGCCTAGCACCCCACACACTCACACTCATAGCCTGGCACCCCACACACTCACTCATAGCCTGGCACCCCACACACTTACACTCATAACCTGGCACCCCACACACTCACACTCATAACCTGGCACCCCACACACTTACACTCATAACCTGGCACCCCACACACTTACACTCATAACCTGGCACCCCACACACTTACACTCATAACCTGGCACCCCACACACACTCGCTCATAGCCTAGCACCCCACACACTCACACTCATAGCCTGGCACCCCACACACTCACTCATAGCCTGGCACCCCACACACTTACACTCATAACCTGGCACCCCACACACTCACACTCATAACCTGGCACCCCACACACTTACACTCATAACCTGGCACCCCACACACTTACACTCATAACCTGGCACCCTACACACTTACACTCATAACCTGGCACCCCACACACTCACTCATAACCTGGCACCCCACACACTTACACTCATAACCTGGCACCCCACACACTTACACTCATAACCTGGCACCCTACACACTTACACTCATAACCTGGCACCCCACACACTTACACTCATAACCTGGCACCCTACACACTTACACTCATAACCTGGCACCCCACACACTCACACTCATAACCTGGCACCCTACACACTTACACTCATAACCTGGCACCCCACACACTCACTCATAACCTGGCACCCTACACACTTACACTCATAACCTGGCACCCCACACACTCACACTCATAACCTGGCACCCCACACACTTACACTCATAACCTGGCACCCCACACACTTACACTCATAACCTAGCACCCTACACACACAATCATAACCTAGCACCCCACACACTCACACTCATAACCTGGCACCCCACACACTTACACTCATAACCTAGCACCCTACACACACTTACAATCATAACCTAGCACCCCACACACTTACACTCATAACCTGGCACCCTACACACTTACACTCATAACCTGGCACCCCACACACTCACACTCATAACCTGGCACCCCACACACTTACACTCATAACCTGGCACCCCACACACTCACACTCATAACCTGGCACCCCACACACTTACACTCATAACCTGGCACCCCACACACTTACACTCATAACCTGGCACCCCACACACTCGCTCATAGCCTGGCACCCCACACACTTACACTCATAACCTGGCACCCCACACACTTACACTCATAACCTGGCACCCCACACACTCACACTCATAACCTGGCACCCCACACACTTACACTCATAGCCTGGCACCCCACACACTTACACTCATAACCTGGCACCCCACACACTTACACTCATAACCTGGCACCCCACACACTTACACTCATAGCCTGGCACCCTACACACTCACTCATAGCCTGGCACCCCACACACTTACACTCATAGCCTGGCACCCCACACACTCACTCATAGCCTGGCACCCTACACACTCACTCATAGCCTGGCACCCCACACACTTACACTCATAACCTGGCACCCCACACACTCACACTCATAGCCTGGCACCCCACACACTTACACTCATAACCTGGCACCCTACACACTTACACTCATAACCTGGCACCCTACACACTTACACTCATAACCTGGCACCCCACACACTTACACTCATAACCTGGCACCCCACACACTCACACTCATAACCTGGCACCCCACACACTTACACTCATAACCTGGCACCCTACACACTTACACTCATAACCTGGCACCCCACACACTTACACTCATAACCTAGCACCCCACACACTCACACTCATAGCCTGGCACCCCACACACTTACACTCATAACCTGGCACCCCACACACTCACTCATAACCTGGCACCCTACACACTTACACTCATAACCTGGCACCCCACACACTTACACTCATAACCTGGCACCCCACACACTTACACTCATAACCTGGCACCCCACACACTTACACTCATAACCTGGCACCCCACACACTTACACTCATAACCTGGCACCCCACACACTTACACTCATAACCTGGCACCCCACACACTCACTCATAACCTGGCACCCCACACACTTACACTCATAACCTGGCACCCCACACACTCACTCATAACCTGGCACCCTACACACTTACACTCATAACCTGGCACCCCACACACTTACACTCATAACCTGGCACCCCACACACTTACACTCATAACCTGGCACCCCACACACTTACACTCATAACCTGGCACCCCACACACTTACACTCATAACCTGGCACCCCACACACTTACACTCATAACCTGGCACCCCACACACTTACACTCATAACCTGGCACCCCACACACTTACACTCATAACCTAGCACCCCACACACTCACTCATAACCTGGCACCCCACACACTTACACTCATAACCTGGCACCCCACACACTCACTCATAGCCTGGCACCCCACACACTCGCTCATAACCTAGCACCCCACACACTCACTCATAACCTAGCACCCCACACACTCGCTCATAGCCTGGCACCCCACACACTCATAGCCTCCAACAACAATGGAAGGCAGAGGAGTGACGCTTACAACAATGAGCAGAGCGCCGGGTAGCTAAAACACAGCAAGTTGGCACAGCAGGGGGCACAGCTAGTGCATCGGCCAGTCATCTCAGTCGGTTAGCCCATGGAACCTGATGGGTCTGTCCCACGACCTCCTGTCAGCAGCGAGCCTTCGACATGTCACGTGGCCTCAAAAGTGCACCTGATCTGGCACAGGTGCCCTGGTGACGTCACCGCCACCTAGTTGCGAATGGCGGATGTTGGTATTGGATGGTGAGTATGTTGCTGATGGTGAGTCGGCGAGTGAATTGTGAGTCGGCAAGTAAATTGCTCCCTCTTTCTCTCGCTCTCCCCCAGGAGGTGTCCCCTCCGCTGCCCGATGTCTTCTTTGACCGCGTCGACCGTGTGAAGTGGGCATTCTCTGTCTGCGAGATCAACGGCGTCATCCTGGTCTCCATGTGGTTCATACAGTGGGCGTGTCTCACCCACAGGTACAATAGACTACTATAGATGACTATAAAATAGACCCTGTGGAGTTGGCCTTCTCTGTCTTCGAGATCAACGGTGTCATGCTGGTCTCCATGTGGTTCATACAGTGGGCCTCTCACCCATGGGTACACTATAGACTCATACACGATAGACTACGACACAATAGACTAATCTGTAGACTCCTATTCTTTAGGTCAAAGGCGTTGCCTGAAGACGACCGCTTGTGTTGCGATTGAAACGTCGTCGTTTTTTGTTATTTTCTTTGAACCTATCTACGTGACTTTACCGAAAGACCTAAAGAATCTGAATTCCTGCAGTCACGAAAGCTTTAAGTCAAGATGTATAGACTCTTACACAATAGACTACACTATAGACTACTACATACTGTAGACTAATATACTATAGACCGCGTGTAGTCGGCCTTCTCTGCGATATCAACAGCGTCATCCTAGTCTTCATGTGGTTCACACAGTGGGCCTGCCTCACCCACAGGTCTCCTTGTCCGTCCATCAAAGGTTGATGATGACCATGATACTCTTCATTGGGATGAGTCTGGGGTACGGTGAGAGCGCAGATGGCTGGAGAGGCCAATCTGAGCCCGGGACACTCTGTGGGACACACTGGGCATGATATGTTGGTAGTAGCCTGCTGGGGGACAGGTCTCTTGATGCGCATCTTGCGCTGTTGTCTCTTCACCATGGTATTTTTGGTCCTGCTCATTTCAGAGGTGGTAGCACCATCCCAGATGAGGTTTCGCCAGGTCGGACGATCCTGAGCAAGGGTTTCCCATGACTTTTGATCTATGTTAAAGCTCTTGAGGGAGACCTTCAGGGTGTCTTTGAAGCGTTTTTTCGGCCTACCTTGTGCTCGCTTCCCATTCTTCAGCTCTCCAAAGAAGATCCGCTTCGGGAGACGAGTGGCAGGCATCCTGGTCACATGGCCGGCCCATCTGAGCTGTGCTTCATAAGGTGTGTGGGAATGCTCAGCATGTCAACACGGCTGAGGACTTCATTGTTTGGGTTTCTGTCCTGCCACTTGATCCCCAGGAGCTTCCTCAAACAGTTTAGGTGAAAGTGACTGAGTTTCCTGGCATGTCGTTGGTATGACTGCCTGGTAAACCTTCAATTTAGTGGCCAGCTTGATGACTGTCCTTTTGCACATGGAATCTCGCAGATGGCCAAAGGCTGCACTAGCCTTGGCAATCCTTGTTGATTTCTTCATGAATGTGAACAGCACGTGACAGAGTGCTGCCAAGGTCGGTGAATTTGTCTACAGCTGTTTCTGACCTTTCACAGAAATGGTTGGGTCCACGTAAGGATTACCGGGGGCAGGTTGTTACGTTACTTCAGTCTTCTTTGTACTGATTGTGAGGCTGAAGTTGTCGTATGCAGCTGAGAACTCGTCTTTGAGAGTCTGCAGGTTGGCAAGCGTGTGCCAGCAGCTAGTGCGCAATCATCTGCAAACAAAAGATCGTGAAGAGTCACCTCCTCTACCTTTGTTTTGGCTTGCATCCTTTACAGGTTGAACAGCCCCCGTCAAAGCGGTAGATGAAGCGGATCCCAGTGTGGTCATTTGGGAAGGCATCTAGCAGTGTGGTGGAGAAGATCGTGCTGAACAGGGTTGATGCTAGAACACAGCCTTGCTTCACTCCATTTGTGACTGAAAACTGTTCAGAGGACTCTTGGTGATCTTGCACACTTGCCTTCATGTCATCATGCAACTGCCGCATCATGGTGATAAATTTGTCTGGGCATCAAAACTTTGCTGTGATCTTCCAGAGGCTCTCGTGGCTGACTGTGTCGAAAGCCTTTCTCAGGTCGACAGAGGTCAGTTACAGGTCAGAGCTTTGCTCTTGGCATTTTTCTTGGAGTTGGCGGGCTGCAAACACCATGTCAGTGGTTCCACGGCTTTTTCTGAAGCCAACACTGGCTCTTGGGCAGCAGGCGTTGGTCTATGTTTTCTGTTAGATTATTTAGGAGGATTCTTGATTTCCCCACCATTGACAGCAAGGATATACTTCTGATTGTCAAATGCTTGGCGATTGCCCTTCCTCGTGTAGAGGTGGATAATCGAGGCATCCTTGAATTCCTGATAGACAGCTTCTTGTCTCCACAATGACTGGAAGAGCTTGGTTAGCTTCTCAACCAAAGAAGGCCCTCGCACCTTGTAGACTTCCGCTGGTATTGCATCAGCTCCCAGAGCTTTTCCCGATGAGAGGCGATTAATGGCTTTTTTTGGTTTCCTTCAAAGTGGGTGGATCTGCAAGTGACAGGTTCATTTAAATGTGAGGCAGCCTCTTGAAGACGTTTTTATTTATGGATGAAGGCTGATTGAGGACCGAGCTGTGTTTGGCCCATCTGGCAAGGATTTTGTCTTTCTGTAAGCAGTGTGGTTCCATCTGCACTCAGGATAGGTGAGGTTCCTGAGGGTTGTGGACCATAGACTGATTCGAGTACATTGTAGAAACGCTTTGTGTTGTTTCTGTTGGCATATGATTGTATCTCCTCTACTTTCTGACTGAGCCAAGCATCCTGCGTAGCTCTAAGCTTGAGCTGGACAGTCCTGCGGATGTTGAGAAATGCAGTTTTATTTGACTCTACGCTGCTGTCATTCAGGCAGGCTCTGTGCAGGCGATGTTTCTCATCAAGGAGTGCCTGAATCTCTGCATCAATTTAACCGAACCAGTGGTGGTGTTTGCGTGTGGCAGTACCAACTGTTGCAAGCACCGTCGAGTGCAGCAGATTTCTGAGAGCTGTCCTATCGGCCTCAGCATCATCAGAATCAAGGCTTAGGGACTCCGAGCAGTGGTCTAGGGCTTCAGCAAAGTTCTGCCGGATGCTCTCCTGTTTCAGCCGAGAGATGTTGAGGTGCTTATAAGATTGTTGGCATTGTGGACGTCTGGGAGGTTTGATCCGAATATTGATCTTAGAGATAATGCGTCTGATCTGTCCAGCATTCTGCACCGCACATGGTCTTTGTCACTTAGATGTCATGCCTGTCTCTCCTCCTGATGTAGAGTCAATCAAGTGCCAATGTTTTGACCGTAGGTGCATTCATGTTGTGTACTTGCGGTTTGGTAGTAGAAAGTGTTTGTGATCAGTGGGTCATGCACAGCACATGTCCTTCATTGCAAAAGGCCATTGCTGTTGCATTTGCTAAAACCACGTGCATCTATGATCCCATTCCATGACTGATGGTCAGTTCCAACTTTGGCACTGAAGTCGCCGAGATTGATGCGTTTCTCTTTGCTGGGTACAGCAGAAATTGCAGTCTCCAGGTCAGGTGAGAACTTGTTTTTGACCTCATCAGGGTTAGTCATGGTCGGTGCATCGGCACTGATGATGGGGACCTGTGTATTGCCTGGTAGTTGGAGCTTCAGGGTCATCAAACGGTCGTTTATACCCTTGGGTAAGCTTGACAGTTGGTTGACCAGGTTAGATTTTACTGCAAAACCAACACCAGCGTCGCGTCTCGCTTTTCCACGCCCACTGCAAAAGAGGGTAGGTATAGCTGGCTCCAACTTCTGCAATCTGTCCCGTGTCAGCTAACCAGGTCTCACTTAGGGCGGCAATGTGAATGTTGTATTTGGCATGTTTTCTGCCTACGAGAGCCGCGTCTCTCAGATCTATTTGGTCCAGCTGTGTCCATAAGTGTGCGCACATTCCAAGAACCAATATTAAGTGGTGTCACTTTAATTTTGTTTGTTTGACCACTGAGGTGGGATCCCTTTCAACTGTGGTAGGCTGGCCAGGGTAATGTGAAGCAGACTGATTAGGGCACCTTTTCTAGCCACTTCCTCGTGCTGGGGAGGTGAGCAGTGTGATCCTGAATAGGGCTGCTTCAGACGCTCAGGCTGATGCCGAGTTCTGCTGCCGCTTCAGTCCAGTGAAAAGCGACCTGATAACCTGAGCCGCTTTTGTGTGGGTCCACGGCTACAGCTCACAGTGCATCCACACCTGTTGCTTCATCGCTCGCCCCTCACCAAAGGACTTTGGATGATGATGTCATTACTTGTGATTTCCATTTTGATTTAAGTTGGGGAGTGTTTCGCAGCTCCGACCTCACTTTCTCGTCCAAGCTCATCTGTATCCAGTGGCAAGACTGTGTCTAGATGGTTGGAGATGATCCTGGATGCAGTGGATAGGCTGAGGAGACTGCCCTACAGACTACTGCGCGATAGACTACTGCGCAATAGACTACTTTAGACTAGACTATAGACTACTACACTATAAACCATGTGGAGTGGGCCTTCTCTGTCTGCGAGATCATCGGTGTCATCCTAGTCTCCATGTGGTTCATGCAATGGGCCTGTCTCCTCACCCACAGGTATACTGATAGACTACTACACTATAGACTACTACGCTATAGACTACACTATAAACTACATACGCAGTGGGCCTGTCTCACCTACGAGTACACTATAGACTACTCTATAGACTACACTGTAGACTCCTACACAATAACTGTGCAGTGCCCGTGTGTGTTTCAGAGTGAGGAGCGGTAGTGTAGTGGTTCACACTGCTCTTTGAACTCGGCGACCTGAATTCGATCCCACTCATGGCTACCACCACCAACACCACTGGTGATGGTTATTTGAACCTGTACCTGGTCCTCCCCTAGGTCGACTTGGCTTCAAATGAGTATCACGGGGTGATGTGTAGACATCACCACTGGGGAAACAAAGGCGCCCGGGCGTGGTGCTGGCCACCCACCCCCTCGTGTGCCAGAGTGCTGGCGTTCATAGGTGCTGCTACTTGCTAAAGCACTTACCTGTACAGCCTGGTGAGGCTTTAAACTATAAACTGAACCCTTTTTTATTTTACGAGGTAAGGCCCACTGAGCTATGTAGCTCTTTTTAAGACGCAACCTGGCCACAAATGATAGCTCAACGTAGTGGCTTATCACGTAGAGATGTATAGCAGTAGCCAAATATTCTAAACTCGTACAGACGTTGATTCTAAATGTGGAAGGGTAAAACTGCAGGACCCGGTGAAAAATTCACGTGACCACTCGGAGAGAGATGCAGACTCCAAATATACAGCAGGCATTGTCAGGGTTTAGGATCCATCCCACGACCTCCTGCATACCAGAAGTGGAAGACAACATATCCTAGCCACCATGGCATCCCTTGAATAAATAAAGTACGCAAGTTAAAATTGCCGCAGCAAGATCACGCGATATTATGGAAACTGCCTCATTGGTATCAGTTATAGTTCCAAGATTAATCTGTGAGACGACTGGTTATATGGGGGGTGGTGGTCTTTGTGTTTCTGCGTGCGTTTGAGGTCTATCATCGGCCGTCGCTACTTCTTTATTATCGGCACGCTGTACCTGTACCGCTGCGTCACCATGTACATCACCACCCTACCCGTGCCTGGACGGCACTTCCACTGCAGCCCAAAGGTGTGTCACCTCGCCACTCGCTCACTCAGCCACTCACTCACTCACTCACCCACACACACGCTCGCACTCAAGCACTCACCCACTCACTCACCCACACACACTCTCGCACTCAAGCACTCACCCACTCACCCACACACACACTCGCACTCAAGCACTCACCCACTCACCCACACACGCTCGCACTCAAACACTCACCCACACGCACGCTCGCACTCAAGCACTCACCCACTCACTCACCCACACACGCTCGCACTCAATCACTCACCCACTCACCCACACACACGCTCGCACTCACCCACTCACTCACCCACACACACGCTCGCACTCAAGCACTCACCCACTCACTCACCCACACATACGCTCGCACTTAAGCACTCACCCACTCACTCACCCACACACACGCTCGCACTCAAGCACTCACCCACTCACTCACCCACACACACGCTCGCACTCAAGCACTCACCCACTCACTCACCCACACACACGCTCGAACTCAAGCACTCACCCACAAAGACAATAGCCTTAACAGACTGTTGGGGCAAGTGCTGTTAGCGAGCACGCACGCATTCACACACTCACACACTCACTCATGCTCACCTACTCACACACACCTACACCCACACACACACTCGCCCACTTACCCACTTACTCACCCACTTACTCACCCACTTACTCACCCACTCACTCACACACTCGCCCACACACTCACCTCCCACTCACTCATACCAACACTCACATCAGCACTCACCTCACCACTCACTCATACCACCACTCACATCAGCATTTACCTCACCACTGAGTGGGGAGCGGTAGCTCAACAGTTAGTGCGTAGTTCGATTCCTGTTCATGGCCAACATCAGTGGCGATTATCTGATCTGGTCGTGGGCCTTAGCCCCTAGTCGACTCGCCTCAAACGAGTACCTGGTGAGGTGTGTAAACATGACCACTGGGGATACAAAGGTGGCCGGGCATGGTGTTGGCTTCCCACTCCCTCGTGTGCCGTGCCGGCCTTCATAAGTGCTTGTCAACAGTCTGTTAAGGCTATATTGGGGATCTTTGCCTTTGGGGGTGGGTGAGTGAGTTGGTTAGTGAGAGAGTGAGTGATGGCGTGGGTGAGTGACTGGCTGAGTGAGTGAGTGTCTGGCGGAGTGAGTGGGTGACTGAGTGAGTGGGTGGCTGACTGGATGAGTGAGTGGATGAGTGTGTGGCTGAGTGTGTGAATGAGCGACTGGCTGAGTGAGTGAGTGGGTGGGTGAGCGGGTGACTGAGCGCGTGACTGAGCGCGTGACTGAGCGCGTGACTGAGCGTGTGACTGGCTGAGTAAGTGTGAGTGGGTGACTGGTTGAGTGAGTGATTGAGAGGGTGAGGGAGTGACTGAGTGTGTGAATGAGTAGATGAGGTGAGTGGGTGACTGAGTGGCTGACTGGCTGAGAGAGTGCTTGAGGGTGTGAGTGAGTGGGTAACTGGCTGAGTAAGTGATTGAGTGGTTGAATGAATGAGTGGGTGAGTGAGTGATTGAGTGGCTGAGTGAGTAATTGAGAGGGTAATTGAGTGAGTGGCTAGGTAGGTGGGTGAATGGCTGAGTAGGTGGGTGAGTGACTGAGTGCGTGAATGAGTGCGTGAATGAGTGGGTGACTGGCTTAGTGAGTGGGTGGGTGGGTGGGTGAGTGAGTGAGTGACTAGCTGCGTGAGTCGGTGAGTGAGTTTGTGAATTAGTTGGTGACTAAGTGAGTGGGTGAGTGACAATGCGTGAATGAATGGGTGGCTGGCTTAGTGAGTGGATAGGTGAGTGGGTGAGTGGTTGAGTGAGTGGGTGGGTGATTGAGTGGCTGAGTGAGTGGGTGAGTAGGTGGGTGACTGGCTGAGTGAGTGGGTGAGTGACTGAGTGCGTGAATGAGTTGGTGACTGGCTGAGTGAGTGAGTGGGTGCTTGAGTAGGTGAATGGCTTAGTGGCTGAGTGTGTGCTGGAGTTGGGTAGTGAATGAGTGGGTGACTGAATCTCCGTAATTGTGTGTGCGCCTAGGTGCTGGGCGACGTGGAGCTGCAGATGAGGCGCGTGATGAAGCTGATCGCGGGCGGTGGACTCAGCCTCACGGGGGCGCACACTCTGTGTGGGGACTACCTCTATAGTGGGCACACCGTAGTGCTCACCCTCACCTGCCTTTTCGCCCAGGAGTGTGAGTCGCTCACTCATTCACTCATACAGATAAATGCTCACGCATACGGATATATACTCACTCATACATTCATATATTTACGAGCGTGTACGTGAGTGAGCGAGTGTGTACATGAACCGCTGAGTGTGTATGTGTGGTTGAGTGAATGAGTGGGTGGGTGGGTGAGTGGGTGAATGAGTGAGCGAGTGTATACGTGAGTGAGTGGGTGAAAAGATGACAACCTTGATCGCTATCTTCCCTGCCCTGCTACGTGTGAAAGTACAACGAATGTCATCAAATTGGCGGCCGAATGCCCCACTAAGGCATCTCGGATGAAAAGCAAAAGTACAAAATGTCCTTCTCATGGCCAAAGTAATGTAATTGTCGGTCCGTCGCTGAGAATCATGCAGCTGAACATTTAAGGCTTCTCAAGCGTGAAATGCAATGAAATTGTGAAGATTCTCAGGATTCATGACATCGATATTCTGGTGCCAGAAGAAATCCCAACTAGATCGAGAGTGCGCCCACTTGAAGATAAGTGGATACACCATCATTACTGCAAGCCACCACCCGAAACGTTGCCTTGCAACGTACGTAAAGACAGACCTAAAGGACTTTATCCCAGGTCATAACACACCCAACAACTCGCCCCACTACATTGCCATTAAGATCAATGGCGCAACTGTGATCAACGTTTATAGATATATTTAAGTTTGCTTTGAAACCCCATCTCTTTTAACTGACCCTTCGCTCTTTAGTTTGGTCGGTTGCACCCTGGTTCTGTTTTTGTTTCCTGCTTTTCATGCATTGCGCATTGGGATCCTAGGATGGAATGCACATTACACATTCAAATTATTATTACAAGCCTCCAGGTGCCGAATGGCCATATCCGGCAAGACCACCGCCAAGCCACCCAACCATTCACGTTGGCGACTTCAATAGCCACCATACCTTGGCGGGGCTACAACGCCGATGGTAAAGCAGAGGTGAGCAAATGACATAATGGGCAACAGCAGAAGACCATCACCTGCTTTACGACGCAAAAGACCGGGGCACGTTCAAGTTGGCACGCTGAAAAAAATGCTACACGCCTGATCTATGCTTTGTATAACTGGATCATATTGGTAACTCTGTCATCAACGAGAAGCGTCCTTGACGACTTTACAAACAGCCAACTTAGGCCTGTATTGATCAATATCAGCCTTCAGATCTCACTGATTCGCTCTGCACCAAAACCGCGCTAGAACCCAAGGATGACTCTATGACCGAGTTACACCACGGCCATGGAGGAATCTGTTGGAATGATCCTTCAACGTGCAGCCAAGCACCACTGCTTCACAGGCCTGATCAAGGCAGCTGCCAAGGCCAACATTTTAGAGGTTTTAGAAAAGTCTTCAACTCCTGTTGGTCTCAAGAAAGCGAAAAACTCTTCCGACAATTTAATGGCGAGTGAGTGAACAAGTGGGTGAGTGAACGAGTGGGTGAGCAAGTAAGTGAGCGAGCATGAATGAGTGAGTGTACATGAGTGTGCACATGGGTGAGTGAGCGAGGTTGCACATGGGTGAGTGAGCGAGGTGAGCCAGTGTGTACATGTGAGAATCATTGAGTGTGTACGAGTGAGTAGCTGAGTGAATGAGTACCTGGTGAGGTGTGTACCTGAGTCAGCAAGTGAGTGATTATTTGGGCGAGTGTGTAGATCGGTGAGTGTGTGAGTACGAGTGAGTAAGTGAGTAGTGCATTGACCCTCCAGATTCCCCCCGACGCTGGCTCTGGTACCGGATTCTCTGTTTCCTGCTGGCGGCAAGCGGCGTAGTGGCCATCTTGGCAGCGCACGACCACTACAGCATCGACGTGCTGGCCGCGTACTACGTGACGACGCGCCTGCATTACACCTACCACAGCATGGCCTGCACGACCGTGAGTTCTCCCACTCGTTCGTATTCACTCAACTGTTCATTTATAAAGTCACTCAACCATTCATTCATATGCTCACTTGACTATTCCTTTATAAACTCACTGAACCATTCATGCTCACTCAAACGTTCAATCATAAAAACAGGACCCTGCGGGGTGGGCTGGTAGGAACGAATAACCAAAGAATATAAACATAATGTATTATTACACTTGTTTAGCCAGGAAAGCCCCAATGAGTCTAAAGGTTTTTGTAGGGTCCTGCCAAGTGTTTGCAGTAGGAGGCGATGTTGCTACACCTAATCGGACGATACGAAGGGAGAGTTTGAGGCCTAGTTCTAGGCTTTAGGCCGCTGTGAGTTAATTTGTAATTTAAATGTTTTTATTATTTATGTAAAAGCTTTAAATTTAAATGTTTCTATTTAAAAACATCAGGGAATGTAACATTGTTAAACATTAACTCCCTTGCACACACGCGGGGGTACGATACGAAGGGAGAGTTTGAGGCCTAGTTCTAGGCTTTAGGCCTAGCTGTAGGCTTTAGGCCACTGTGAGTTAAATTTTAATTTAAAAGTTTTAATTAAAAGCTATCTCAGAGAATTATAAGGGAATGTTACACTTGTTTAGCCAGGAAAGCCTCACTGAGTCTAAAGGTTTTTGTAGGGTCATGCCAAGTGTTTGCAGTAGGGGGCGATGTTGCTACACGGATGGACGATATAATCTATTGTAGGCTGGTTCACTTCGTTCCTACCAGTATCACTCAACCTTCCAGATACTCACTGAACAAGTCATTCACTTGTTCACGTCAACTATTCATTCATATATTCAACTGTTTGAAAACTCACTTAAACTGTACATTCACACACTCGCTCAACCATTCAATCATATACTCACTGAACTGTTCATTCATGTACTCATTCAACCATCCATTCATATACTCACTGGACCGTTTATTCATATACTCACTCAATCATTCATTCATAGACTCGCTGAAGCGTTCATTCATATACTGACTCGACCATTCGTCCATAGACTCACTTGACCACTCGTTCATATACCCACTCCACCGTTCATTCATGTACTCCCTGAACCGGTCATTTATATGCTGAATAGACCATTCATATACTCACTCAACTGGCCATATACTCACTGAACTGTTAATTTACATACTCACTGGACCATTCATTTATATGCTCACTGAACTGGTAATTCACATGCTCATTCATCTGGTCATTCACATGCTCACTCAACCTTCCATTCATATACTCACTCAACCATTCACATGCCCGATAGTTCATTCCTATACTCACGCAACCATTAATTTACTCACGCAACCATTAATTCACAAACTGAACCATTCATTCATATACTCACTCGACCATTCCTATACTCAACCATTCATTCACTCGTTCAACCATTAATTTATATATTTACTCAACTGTTCATGCATATACTCAACCAATCATTCACTCATTCAACCAGTCATGGGGGACGATGCCAACCCCAGCTGTATGCGATGATGAAATTCCCACCTGCAACTTTCATCAGCAGCAAGCTGAGACCACGCCACTGTGGGCTTGAGTTAGGTTTTATATGAATGCCCACCACCTAAGTTGAAGAATGGCAGGTGCACCTTAAAGATGACAATCCGATAGTGGGCAGATCAGCTCCACGGTAGGTCGTGATGTCTGGGACATGGGCCTGCATTATCTGTTCCATCACTATGTAGTCCAGCAGATATTTTTGCCTGGACCCGGCGTGCATCCATGGTGTTGTGTGGATGCGCCGATGCTGGAACAGCGTGTTCATGATTACAAGCACATGGGCTGCACAGAAGTCGAGCAGCCTCCTACTATTGTTATTGAGCTGAACTGGCCCATGCTTCTCAATCGCTCTATCCCAGGTTCCTGCATCATGACCCACTCGGGCATTAAAGTCACCCAACAGGATGACTATCCCGAGGGGCCACTTTATCTCGCACCTGTGACAGGTCATAGAAGGCATCTGACTCATCAGCCTTGCATGCATCCCTCCATTGATGTTAATCTTCTGTGGTGGCGTTAGCCACCACCATCACTATTTCTGACCTTTTTTTTAAGGGGAGACGAGCCCATAATATCATGGTACTCACAGCTTCCCATACCTCACCGCGACGCTCCCACGCCCCACTTCATTCTTTTGTTCAGAAGAAGAGCCACTCACCCCTCATGATGACTGGAGCCAGAGCTGGTCCACCGAACCCCTCCTGTATTCCAACAAGTCCAGGCGAATGGGGTTTGGCCAGGGTATGTCATAGACGCCTGTCCCCCCAGGGCCTCTGGCACAAGCTTCGTTTGGTCTCGGTTCCCCCGTGGTTAAGCGGTGAAGGGATCACCAGCCCCTTACACCCACCCAGAACCCCCCCATTGGCGCCGTGGTGGCTACGATCGCCGTGAGGGGAACAGCCAATTGGAATCGACCTTTCCCCCCCTCCCAATGGCGTTGCTCGGCCACCATAGCGTTACTGTGCGGCACCACCGAAGAGGTAGGGGGTTCTTTTAACCTCATGCACTGAAAACCAATCCTGCCTTAAGGATTTTTTTTGACGCATGAGCCACTGGCACATTCGAGTGCTTGGCTCCCAGGAGGCTGGAATGCAAGTTCAAATCCTGGTCAGGGTTTGACTCTCAACCTATCCTCCATAGCTCGAAGCCACTACTGTGTTACCAGCCGAGAAGGGTAGGGAATTGTTTTTGCCACTCGGAAAATAACAGCAGCACCGTCTGTTCACCAATTAAGTGGCGGTGATGTCACCACGGCACATGTGCCCGGCTAGGTGTACCTTTGAGGCCGTCACACGAGGTGTGGAAGGCTCGCTGTTGGTAGGTGACCGCAGACCTGCGTGTGCCATGCGTTGACTGAAATGGCCGTTAGATACACCACCTGTGTCCTCTACTGTGCCAACTTGCTGTATTTTAGCCATCCGGCACTCCGCTCGTTGTTGTGAGCGTCGCTCCTCCGCCCTCCGCTGTTGTTAGACGGCGATTGCCTCCAACTGCCCAGTAGCATCCTTCATGAGCCTCCTCCAATGAGGCAGATCTGGACACTGCTGCTCCTGGTCTTCGGCAAGTCCAATCGGCTCCACATCCTCCTGTACCGCGTCAGCTCCACATCTTCTCTAGCCAATGGTGCGCCCGTTTAGTCCCCTCTATCCGGCGAAACAGAAGCTGGCTTGGGCATGTGGTGGCTGAGAATGTGGACTTCATGACCCAACCACTCGCATAGCCACTCGCACAAAGACAAAGATCCCCAATATAGCCTTAACAGACTGTTTGAGCAAGTTGTTAGCGAGCAACACCTATGAAGGCCGGCACGGCACACGAAGGGGTGGGTGGCGAACACCATGCCTGGCCGTCTTTGTCTCTTTAGATAATCGTCATGGGCGTTGAACGTGAGCAGGAATGAACCGTGGATCACCACTCGCTCACACTCTCATTGTCGGTCTCTCATTCACAGTCTATTAACCAACTACATTTTACCAGGTAAGACCCACTGAGCTATAGAGCTCTTTTTCAGAAGCGACCTGGCTATCTCAAATGATAGCTCAATGAAGTGGCTTATCATCATGTGCAAATTTTTCACATCCAACTAAATACTCTAAACTCGTAGAGACGTTGACTTTAAATGTGGAGGGGAAAAAACCGGATGACTCATGCAACGACTGGGACAGAGAGATACGCAAACTCCAAATATACAGCAGGGGACCTGGTTGGGATCGAACCTAGGACTCCTGCATACCAGGCGAGGTAGTTAACATCTCACCGATCTCTCCCCCCCCCCCCCCCCTCTCATCCTCACGGTGTTTTAGGATCTCAAGTCGCGGGGGTCTGGGAACTGGTTCAGGAAGCTTTGGTGGTTCCGCATTTTCCTCGTGCTGGAGGGGAACGTCTCTACCAGTGTTCCCCTGCGCTTCTCCCTGCCCATGCTGAACGCGGGGAGGAGAGGGAGGTACACGAGGGTAGAGATGGTGTGAAGCATGCAGGGGGAGACGCCGGGAGGGGGAAACATGGGGAGGAGAGGAGATACAGGGAGCGTGGGAGACGTGGGGATGCGGAGAGGGGGAAGTGACGTGGGGAGGAGGGGATGCGTCTTCTGTGAGGGGGACACGGGGAAGAGACTGAGGTGGCTGTGTCTGTCAGTGCTGTCTGAACCCATAGCACCATATTGTATGGGGATTAGCCAAAGCACTGAGCCGTGAGGAGCGGTAGTGTCGTAGCGGTTAGCGCTACGCTGCACTATGAACCCTTTGGCCCAAGTTCGATTCCCGCTCACAGGCAACACCAGTGACGATTATTTGAACCAGTCCTGGGCCTCCCCTAAGTCGACTCGGCCTCAAATGAGTACTTGGTGCAGTGTGTAAAAATCATCGCCACTGGAGAGATCAAGGTTTTGGTGTTGGCCACCCACCTCATTGTGTGCCGTGCCGGCCTTCATAGGTGCTGCTCACTAACAGCACTTGCCTCAACAGTATGTTAAGGCTATACGGGGGTCTTTGTTAGTGCTATGGCTAAACCCTCACACTACCCCTGACCCGAACACTAGGCTTACCCTCTAACCATGATTCTAGCCCTATCCACTGTCTAGCCCAATCCACTGTCTAGCCCTATCACTACTCTAGCCCTATCACTGTATGTAGCCCTATCACTGCCTTGAGACCTAACACTGACTCTAGCCCTAACCATTGCACTACCCCTAACCATAGCCCTTAACACTAGGCCTTCCCCTAACCATGACACTAACCTAACCATGACTCTTATTTTTATCACCGATTCTCGCCCTAACACTGACTCTGGTGCCCTAACATTGACTGTAGCCCCAGCCCCTAACCCGGAGGTGGTTGGTGATGAGAAGTGCCGTTGTGGTGGTGGTGGTGATGCGGATGATAACTGTGGTGATGTTAAATTGATGAAGCCAATATCGGTGAAAAGGTGAACAATGTTGATTATGTCGTTGGTGGAAATTATGGTGATGACGTTTACAATGTCGTGCACACTGCAGTACAGCAAATAGGTTGTGCATCTCGGATTCCTCGCTCTTGTAAATGCAGCCCTGCTACCAATTACATTTTAGTACCTGTTTATACGACGTGATAATAGCGGTGTTGATGATGGTGGTGATAATGTTTAATAAAAAGTGACATTGTCAGTGAAGTGTGTGTGCATCCTGCATGGTGGTGATTGATAAATCAAGGAGATGTGGTGAGTGGAGGAGTTCAATCTTGATTTGGAGCTTTCGTGACTGCAGGAATCCATACTCTTTGGTTCTTTCGGTAAAGTCACGTAAGTAGAAATAAAATAAAACAAATCACGACGTTTCGATCACAACACAATCAATCTTCATCAGGTGGAACAACCACAGCAAGAAAATGCTGAAGTAGGTGAGAGAGCTGCCGTGGAAAGAGGTTATATAGGTAAGAAAGGGGGGAAACAACGGCGGAGAGAGAGGTGGGGGGGGTGTGGGGTAGGGGGGGGCTGCATGAGCGCTTAGGGAAGAGGACTTGAAGCTGGGGGGGGGGGGGTGTGAAGTGGGCGGGGCTAGAAGTGAGAAGCCGAGTGTGGGACATGGGGGGGGGGGGGGGGAAATGTGCTAGTAAACCGGCAGGTACGATGGAAACAACCAGTTGAGGCATTACCTGGTTAATAACATCCTTCCAATGATTATTCAATTTGTAATCCATCTTCTCGGTTGAAGTTATGTCTACGTTTATATATCTGGATGGCTTCATGAACAAATCTCTGAAGGTAGCCGGTAGGTTTGCAGAGTACCTTCGTCTTGGAAAAATCTATTTTGTGTGACCCCACAGTGTTTAAACAATGATCAGCAACGGCAGAGGTATTGGTCCTACCGTGTTTCAGATCCGCCTTGTGTTCACGAACGCGGTCCGAGACATGTCGTTTCGTTTCCCCAATGTAACTGCTGCTACAACCACAACTCAGTTTGTAGACACCAGGGTATAGCATGTCAGGAATCACATCCTTTACAGATGGGATCACGTCATGGATTTTGTGTACTGTGTTGAAACGAACCTGGATCTTGTGTTTGTTAAAATTTTGGTAAACCCTTCTATGTATGGTAAAGTGATGGTTATGGTTGGATCCTCAGAAGGTTGTCTCCCCATGGCTGAGGAGACAGCTTTGTGGATTGTACGGTCTGAGTATCCGTTCATCCTGAGGGCTTGGTATACGTGCTCCAACTCATTGGCTCGGTGGTACTGGTCAGAAAAGCAAAGGGCCCTATGGTGTAGTGTTGTCATGAGGGAATTCTGGGCTGGATGGTGGTGGGAGTCAGGCTTTAGATAGGCATCCGTGGGTTTTTTTTTCCTATAGACAGTGTCTCAACGAGCCATCAGGTCTCTTCTCGATCAAAACATCCAGGAATGGTAGCTTGCCATCCTTTTCCACTTTCATGGTGAATTTGATAGACGGTTGTATGGAATTGATGTGGTTGAGAAATTGGTTCAGTGCTGGCAGGCCATGTGGCCAGATGACGAACCTGTCATCTACGTATCTCTTCCACAAGGAAGGACGTAGGGTGGATGTCACTACGCTCTGCGTGCAGTGCTGACTACTACAGGGTAGGGTGTGAGAGTGCAGGCCACAGGAACAAGGTTACTGTGGGCCATGGCACTGGTTGACCCCGAAGGACACGTGACCAGTAAAGTATACACAGGGCCCCCAGGTCGGGGCTAGGGGGTGGTCACGCGTCGGGGCGAGATCCTACGGGAAAGGTCGAAAAACGACAAGAGGTTTCTCAAAGGTGGCCGTGAACAAGGACGGGGCCAGCCACGACCCGGGAGCATATAAACCGGGTCCCCACAGGGACCAGGGTTCAGCGTAACTGTTGTCATCTGAAGATCTACGTTCTACGTCTGAGAAGATTCACCAACACGTGGACCTGGACCCAGGCTGGGGTCTGGTCCATTGTAGCTATTCCCAGTGTGGTTAGTTTAGTTTAGCCTGGTGGTCCACCACCATAGGCTGTTATCTGGTAAAAAGGGGCAGTTACCCCTTTGTGTTAATGTGTTGGTGTAAATAAATGTGTTGCCTTCAAGAAGTACGTCAACGACTCAATTGAATCCACTACACTGGCACCAGATGACAATACATCCAACATTCATTTTAGGGTTTTTTGGGTTAGATCGCATAAATATATAAATGTGTCCTTAAAACCCAGCACCACCCAACATAGCCAACTAGTAAGGGGTTTCGTGCCAATTCTTCACTAGTATAGTACACCGGTGTGTTGGAGATCCAAGCCACAAGATTTACAATCTGAGTACGTTTTGCCAGCAATTACAACTAGCTTCATTAGGCAACAGCCATATTTGTGCAGAACTCCACCTGTTCTGTTCCTTACATAGAGGCATAGATGTGGTGACCAAACTTCTGCGCTCTTACGCAAAGTGGGGGGGGGGGGGGGGGGGGAATCATGAGTCAACGTACATTATTAATGCGCATTATGCGAGCCCTTTGATCTTGCCCTGCCTGTCCATTGTATTAAAATAGCCGTACCAATGGTAATCCCTGTGTAGTGCCATAGGTGGGCCACACTTACCAGCAGTGGTGGACAGGGCCCATCTGCAGGTACCTCGGACCCCCAGGGGAGGTGCCACTGTGCCAGCCCAAGAGGGGAGGGGCTGCTGGGGGCTCTAGGATCCTAGACAGCTAAGCCGTCGGCGCCGGCTCTAGGATCCCAGACAACCCAGACAGCTAAGCCCCTTGGCGCCACCAACGGGGGGCTGTGGGGTATCTGGGAGCACACACAACCCCACCCCTCGATGGGCAAGAGGGATAAAAGGGCCGCTCCCTGGCCGATCGGGGCCAGTCGCAGCTCAAGACCCAAGACCAACCAGCTTAGGACCCTGGACCCCCTCGTCCCGCTTGTTCTTGTAAGGGCCGGGACGCTGTGCGGGCCAGTGGTGGGACTCTGGGACTCCTGGCTCTACGCCCTTGTAAGGGCGAGTTCCGAGGAAGCCAGAGTCTAGACCCGCACCTTGGCTGGGTCGGGTCAGGTAGCCTCCTCTAGGGTAATTGTAGCCGGACGACCCCAGAGCGTAGCTAGAGTAGGCTGTGTTCCTAGGCTGTAACAGAGTATCAGGACTGTTGGAGTGTTGTATTGTAATAAAGAAGTTACCTCTACAAGTGTCTCCGGAACCCATTACACCTGTATAGTCATGCATTTAAACAATGTATTACTTGATTCGCTTCCGCGCAGCACTATCCGAACGGTTAAAATTATTTTTACTTCTTTCAATCTCGATAGATTCTCTAATTAGTCTTGACCAGTAGTAGCTAGTTTTTCACAGATTTGTCAACATCAAAATAAATTGAGTGTCCTTAGCAATTATGTTGTCAAATTACATTCAAACTTAAACTTTAGTTTAAGTGAGGACAGATATGGCAGCATGGAGATGCAAAGAAACTAAACTTCCTTGGTGGTTCCAAAATGTTTAGGCAGATACATAAAAAAAAAGTTGTATCTCTGGCTGGATGACGACAGCTGCATCTATTCTTGTAGTGAGAGAAGCCTGGGAGTCAGGTGACTGCTATGGAGACTCTTTGTGTCATGCTCCTGGTTATAGATCTTTCCAGACTCCACTTTACACATGTGTAATGCGAGCGTAGGAGTGATCTGGAAGGTTCGGAAAGGGAGTGGTGGAAGGTGGAGACTGGATGACGTGGGAGGGGAATATAAGGGGGTATCCGGAAGAGGCTCGTGGCAGTTGGGATAGACTCGAAGTGGGACCACGTCGAGCCGTGGGAGGTCTCCGGCGCCATCGGCCACGTGGCTGGAGACGACTCCAAGCACACCGTCAGCTAACGGTGTGCGGGAGTGCAACTGACGGAAAGAGCGTGCGGGGCGCGCCAGTGAAACAGCCGGTCCATGGTCGGGACCGGCGGAGTGTGAGCGGCATAACTAACAAGAATAGAGACGGAGACCAAGCTGTGTGTCGTCAACGTCCTTTATTACACATGTATGGCCTTCCTACTCTGCATTGTCTAAACACTCCATTGACAAAGATCCCCCTCATAGCCTTAACATACTTTTTGGGCAAGTGCTGTTATCGAGCACCAATGAAGGCCAGCACGGTACACTAGGGATGGGTGACCAGCATCACGCCCGACCGCCTTTGTCTTCCCAGTGATGACGATGGTCACACCATATCAGGTACTCATTTAAGGCTGAATCGACCTAGGGGAGGCCCAGGACTGGTTCAGATAATCACCACTGGTATTGGTGGACCTGAACGGGAATCGAACTTGGGTCATCAGGGTTTGTACAGCAGCGCGCTAACCACTACACCACCACTCCCCCAAAAATTCCACTCACACCTCCATATGTACAACTCCTGGGGGTTGCCTCAGTCTGAATCCTCCTCCTGCTTCACGCTGCATCCATCCATCTGGACGTCGGGTCCTGGAGTTGAATCTTCATTTTCACTTTTCACCTTCACTTCTTCATATTCCACCTTCACTTCTTCATATTCCACCTTCACTTCTTCATATTCCACCTTCACTCCTTCATATTCCAACTTCACGTCTTCACATTCCACCTTCACTCCTGGCCATGTTTCAAAACTGTGGATGCCTTCTGGTTCTTGTTCCATGCGAAATGGGCTAAATGCAGCACGTTCACTTTCACTTCTCGTTTCCACCTCCGTCTCCTTGTGGATCTTCTCATGTCTATTTCGGCCTTCTGATCGTGCAAATGCCTTCCCACACACAGTGCACTTGAATGGCTTTTTGCCTGTGTGTGTTTTCAGGTGTCTCTGAAGATATGCTGCCACCCCAAATGTTTTCTCACACACAGTGCACTTGAACAGCTTCTTGCCTGTGTGTGTTCTCTGATGCTTTTGTAAACTTTCTGACTCTGCAAAAGCATTTCCACAGATAGTGCATGTGAAGGGCTTCTCGCCTGTGTGTTGTCTCTGGTGAACGATAAGAGACCCTGATTGTGTAAAGGTTTTACCACACACAGTACACTTGAAGGGTTTCTCGCCTGTGTGTGTTCTTTGGTGAATTTGAAGATATGATGACAGTTTGAATGCCTTCTCACACAGAGTGCACTTGAAGGGCTTCTCGCCCGTATGTTGTCTCTGGTGAGCAGTAAGAGATCCTGATTGTGTAAACCCTTTACCACACACAGTACACTTGAATGGCTTCTCGCCTGTATGTGTTATCTGGTGAATTTGAAGATGTGATGACAGTTTAAATGCCTTCTGACAAACAGTGCACTTAAAGGGCTTCTCGCCTGAGTGTGTTTTCTGATGTGTCTGAAAACTGCCTGATACTGCAAATGCCTTCCCACACACTGTACACTTGAAGGGCTTCTCGCCTGTGTGTGTTCTCTGGTGAATTTGAAGATGTGATGACTGTCTAAATGCCTTCTCACACACAGTGCACTTGAAAGGCTTCTTTCCTGAGTGTGTTCGCTGATGTTTCTGAACACTTCCTGACTCTGCAAATGCCTTTCCACACACATTGCACTTGAAGGGTTTCTCCCCTGTGTGTATTCTCTGGTGATCTTTAAGATGTGATGACTGTCCAAATGACTTTTCACACAAAGTGCACTTGAAGGGCTTCTTGGCCGTGTGCGATTTCTGGTGCAGATTCATGTGTCCAGTGTCATTCGGGTCATATGGAGACTGGTCGCATTGGTGCCTTCTAGCAGCGGGCGTTGTATTCAGTCTCTGCTCCATGTCATTTATTCTGCAGATATACATTACACACATTACGCACTTTTATTACACACAATATACACTATAATACATAGTACACAGTCACATGCAGTACACCCAGCAGACATATATACACATTACACAGAACATACACATACGTTCAACACACACACACACACAGTACACCTAGAAAATGACAGAATATATACATACGTTCAACATGCACACGAAGTACACCTAGAAAATACAGGGTGTCCATACAATATTTATTTTATTGAACAAATACAATTCTAGCCAACCTGCACCTTCCGATACATCGGGAAATAAACACGACACCGCCTGTCCGCCTAAAATCACGGCACCCTTTCTGGATCACAGCAGCCTCACTCCACCTCACAAATATAAATGAAGGCGAGACATGGCAGAAAGTCTGGACTGTGGCCGACGTCAAAAATAAACATCTCGTACAGAACCCTACCGTCGAACCTCCCGGTTTCAACCTTTTTACGCTGCCAATAGTCGACCCATCAACTAAATCAGGACCGTGCATGGCCGATGGGGCCACCTGATGCACAAACGGTGCATCAAAGATTCAGCGCCCTGCGAGTGAGGCCACGAATCCCAAACCATCGACCATATTGTAAAAACTCTGCTGCTGTCTTCACGCCTTTAAAGAAAGAATGGACGAGACCCACTCTGCTTCTGAATAATGGAGTGGATACCAAATCTGAAATTACACTTTTCATCTGCTGTTACAATGGTCTACAATTTTTTAGACGTCATCTGCTTCAGAGATGAAATGTGCTGTTTATGTATTTAGATTTTCTGAATTCAAATATGACAATTAAAACAACTGATTGGCTACTGTTACCAAGATATTTAAGTTTTTACATTTTACGTGTATATATATTGTGTCGATAGTAGAGTTTTACTCATAAACTGCAAACCTAGGTTTTTTCATGTGTTTATGGTTGCTTTATATGATAACATGTCACCTATCCTGTTCATGTAACACTTTAAAAATCAGAAAAAGGGTTATATAAATAAAATGTATTATGAAACAAAAGGCAGAAAACTATTATATATATGTAGTGGATTCAACTAAGTCGTAGACGTACTTGGAGGCAACACATTTATTTATACCAAAACGTAACACACAAAGGGGTAGCTGCCCCTTTATCAGATAACAGCCTAGGGTGGTGGACCACCTGGCTAAACTACACTAACACACTGGGAGTTAGCTACAATGGACCGGACCCCGGCTCGGATCCGGGTCCACGTGTTTGAAGACTCTTCTTGGAAGTAGAACGTAGATCTTCAGATTAAGGTAGCAACGCTGAACCCCGGTCCCTGTGGGGACCCGTTTTATATGCTCCCGGGTCGTGGCCGGCTCCGCCTTTGGCCACGCCCACCTTCGAGAGAGCTCTATCTTGACCCTTCCCATAGGATCTTTTCCCTGACACGTGACCACCCCCTAGCCCCCACCTGCGGGACCCATGTAGACTTTACCGGTCACGTGCCTGCAGGGTCAACCAGAGTGCCATGGCCCAGGGAAATCTCATCCCATGGCTGACACTCTCACACTCCCTCCGGTAGGAGTCAGCACTGCACGCCACGCGTGGTGCCACTGCGCTATCCCAGCGCTCACCAAGCCCCCACTAGGGCTGGTACTACACCCACCTATGGGGTGTCCGCGATGACAATGCATCGCACGCCGTGCCTCGCTAGAGCCGGCAGTGCTCGGTGACATTCACGATGTCGTTACATACGTGATGTCCGCAATGTAAGTTGTTGTATCTATGCCCTGTTTTCCGTTATTAATATTAAGAATAATTAAGGAAATTTTTTTTTTTATTATATCTATATATATATATTTTTTCTAATTAAATAATGAAAACAACCCACTACAAGCACACCAGGAATCTGTGAAACGGCCATTAAACTGGTAAGAAGTCGGTCACAGAGAGGTCAGAGACATCCAGATGGACAAAGATCGATGGCCTGACCTCCCAAGACATCTTGAGATGCACGGAGGGGGTGCCGAGCAGAGAAAAACTACTTTTGCCACTCGCGTTTTCTTAACGTTTTCCTTACCGAAAAGTAGAAACTTAACAAAGAATTAACCAACAAACCATAGGTTTTTTTATTAGTAATTATCTTATACTACTCGTATTCACCGCATACATATTATTTATAATTATATGTTTCCTATCTACATGACCTTCCTAAAAACTAAAGAGTACGAATTCCAGAAAGCTTAAGTGGAAACATAGTTACACTTAACCTCAGGACATTAAAATATAACTCAGAATAAAACACCAATCTCTGGAGAACTAAACTTGGCGAAGCCCCAAAATAATGATGTGACGAGAATCATTACGAATATTAATTAAACATAGACGAATGATAACCACGATACTAAGACCGAAGGAACTCATAAAATATAATTCAAGAATAAATGTAACACACAGGACCACATAAATGTATTGCAAACATCTCCTCAGCCACCTTTGTCTTCCAGCGGGGTCTGGCAAGCAAGGAGGGAGCAAAAAGGTCACAGGGGAGAATCGGTGCCTGACATTCCAAAGACATCTGTTTTTTTCTGTTTGTTTTCTCTCGCAAAGAATGCGCAGAGAGGGGAGTCACGTTTTGAGTTAAGCACAAGCACACAGCGAACAGGCAGTCTGCCCGAGTCGCGCTCAGTCTTGCAACTCGGCGTGCGACGCGGCGTTGCGACAGGGCTCGCAAGAGAGCTGGGGCAGGTCGTGCCTAGAGAAGAGATGGGACGACGAGACATCGTTAAAGTGACAGTCTGAGGGCAGTCTGTCCGAGTCGCACTCAGTCTCGCAACTCGGCTTGCGACGCAGCGTTGCGACAGGGCTCGCAAGGGAGCTGGGGCAGATCGTGCCTCGAGGAGAGATGGGACGACGAGGGGTCAGAGAGTGACCGCCTGAGAGCAGTCTGTCCGAGTCGCGCTCGGTCTCGCAACTCGGCTTGCGACGCAGCGTTGCGACGGGGCTCGCAAGAGAGCTGGGACAGATCATGCCTCGAGAAGTGATGGAACGAGGAGGGGTCGTTCGAGTCGCAGAAGTCTGAGTTCAACCTGGGTCGGGGCTGGGTTTCAGCCGTGCTCCGGCTGGCGGAGCGTCGTGAGGAAACGAAACACCGATGCCGATAGCAGGTGTCGCTTCTCGCAGAACGAAGTTAAGTGCGAGTGAAGCTGGCAGCTGCACGAACAAGGGAAGCACGGAGCAGAGAGAGTGACGAGTGACGACAAGCAATCAACCTGTAAAAGGGCGGAGATCGCCAAGCGTCGACCAAGCGTGCAAAGCAGAGAGCGCGAAGCAGTGGAGAAAGCCTGATCAAACGGCTGTGAGGAAGAGGACAGCGCCATCGAATGCGCCGTGTGTTTGAGGGCACACCTACCAACGACCAGTGTGAACAGACAAGACGTCCAGAGCGACGGCGAGCATCGTGCCGACTCAACAATCAATCGAGCAGTGGAGAAGTCGGGGGCTGCCACCAAGAGAGAGAAAGTGCCATCGAATGCGCAGTGTGTTTGATACTCAGACCGACCACCACCCAGTGAGCCACAGCAGCAGCACGATCCGGGCGTCACCGAGCGTCGTGCCAACTCGTCATCTAGCAGTAGAGGGAGAGAGAGCGCAAGAGCAGCACGACCCGAGCAGCACGACTCGCTGCGGCCACGCCCAACCCAGAGGGAACCTCTGGCCGCTGTTTGTATCCTCCCACACCACACAAGCTAACGACACAACTCCCGGCTCTAAGAATTAATTAATATTACAAGGGGACAACGCACACACAGCACGCACACGAATAAGACTTAAAAAAAAATTCTCTTTGCGTTTAAAAAAGGGTTGCCATTTCGAGGAGGTGCGTTCACTACCAACTGATCGTGCAAAGCAGTTGCTGCCGTCGAGTTACATGAATAAGAAATGTTTTAGTCATTCAATTTCGTTAATTGCATAATCTTGCCCATGAATTTATTGACGTATACTTGCTTTCGGATAAGAGAGTGTCATGTGTTTGTTTATAATTAAAATTGCTTAACACCAACTGTTCGAGTGCTTCTTTCCAAGTCCCTGCAAAACTGTCTTATTCTTGATAACTGTATCCTGTGATGAGATCTGAAACTGGAGACCTAAAATAACATAAACACACTAAGATAATCGGTAAACGTTTAATTGATGATAATCGTGTTATCCTGATTGATATAACACTGGATAAACGAAGCTAAGCCTAATTATCATAACTGCTCACAGTAACATAATCGCAAGCATCCGCATAAATTACTACGATGATCTCCGCGATTATAATAATTTATGCATATAATTACACACATTATCATAATTTATGCATGTTAATACAGACATTAACATAATTAATGCGATTTGCACATTTTCCGGAAAATTATTTTATTTTTATTTTTTTTATCAAAATTTCATAATCCAACACATACAACAAAGTACATCGCACGCCGTGCCCCTTTTGGGCCAGCACCACCCAGTGACATCCGCGATCTCACTACATATATATAAGAACATCGTTTAGTCCTTATTCAGTGTCTACTTGGCACTTCCTGGCTTGTATTTATTTGTAGTGACATCGGGGATGTCACTGTATGGTGCCCGGGAGGGCTGTGGCGTGCGATGTGCTTACATCACCAACAGCACCGGGTGGGTTGCTGTGTGAGGCTGGCTCTAGCACAGCACGGCGTGTGATACACCGTCATCGCGTACACCGCGTAAGCGGGTGTAGTACCAGCCCCAATGGGGCTTGGTGAACGCTGGGATAGCATGGGCACTACGCATAGCGTGTAGTGCGGGCTCCCACCAGGGGAAGTGGGAGAGTGTCAGCCCAGGGGCAGGGTTGCCCCAGGCCATGGCACTCTGGTTGACCCCGTAGACACGCGATCTGGAGTGTCCATAGAGAGGGCCCCAGGTGAGGGGAGCTGGGGGTGATCACGTGTCCAGGGAGAGCTCTCGAGAGGGATCGAGGGGGAGCTAGAAT